ATCATGGGAAGCTAAGTGAAATAGGAGTTTCCCTAATAATCCTTAAGAATCTGAGTTTTTGCCTGTAAGAGCGATAAGTAATTTCCAGGAGACTAGTGATCAACTCTTAAATAACTAAGACATTGAGCATCTTTTGTAATCATTATCTCTACCCACAGTTGTTGACATGCTAGTTCCTGACATGGGCTGTGAACTCAGAAATTTCCAATGTAGCTTTATATAGAGGGGAACTGCATACCTCTTTCTTTAATTTCTCTTTTAAACAATTTCCACAATAAACAAATTTAAATGGCAGCATGAGAATGAGAGGTATTATCTAAAAAGGAATCTCTGGACTTGGATCTAAAATCCTTGGACAGGGAGACTACAAAATGGCAGCGAAGTGAGTAGACAGTAAACTGACACATTCCCAGAATCAAACTGGAAATACAAATAAATACAGAAGAACCACCCTGAAATATCAACTGAGGACTAGCTGGAGAGAACCCTGATAACCAAGGATGGAAAGTGGAGACCATAGGACTGCTTTCATTGTGTCCCATAGATTTTGGTTTGTTGTGTTTTTATTGTCATTAGTTTCCAGGATGTTTTTAATTTCTTCTTTGATCTCTTTGGTAACCCAATCATTGTTTAATAGCATGCTATTGAGCTTCCAACTGTTTGAATTTTTTTGGTTGTTTTTTTGTAGTTAGAAAAAAGTCACACAAGCACAGAGAGTCCAAAACAAGATGAACCCAACAAGACCCACAACAATACATGTCATAATTATGATGTCAAATGTTCAGGACAAAGAGAGAATCTTAAAGGCTGCAAGAGAGAGACAGAAAGTTACGTACAAGGGATCTCCCATTAGATTATCAAATGATTTCTCAATGGAAACACATCAGGCCAGAAAAGAATGGAAAGAAATTTACAAAGTGATGCAAAGCAAGGGACTGAATCCAAGAATACTCTATTCAGCAAGGCTATCATTCAAAATGGAAGGGGAAATAAGGAGCTTCATACACACACAAAAAAGGCTAAGGGAGTTTATCACTGCCAAGCCAGCAATGCAAGAAATGCTAATGGGACTGGTGTAAAAAGAAGAAATAGAAAGGGAAGATGGAACACAGGCACAAAAAATAAAAATGGCTACAAACAAGTACCTTTCAATAATAACTTTAAACATAAATGGACTAAATGCTCCAATCAAAAGACATCGAGTGGCTGAATGGATACAAAAAAAACAAACCAAAAAACGTGACCCATATATAAGCTGCCTACAAGAGACCTACCCAGAACAAGGGACTCACATAGACTGAAAGTGAAAGGATAGAAAAATATCTTTCAGGCAAATGGAGATTTAAAAAAAAGCTGGGGTAGCAATACTTTTATCTGACAAAGTAGACCTCAAAGTAAAGGCCATAACAAGGGATAAGGAAGGTCACTTCATAATACTAAAGGGATTGATACAACAAG